CGCTCCGCCTGACGCTGGAAAACTGCTCATTCCTGTCGTCACATCGTTTATTTAAAGGTTTCCTCATAACGAGAAACTCTTTCCTTTATCATTCCTGATTCCAGCATTGAGTTAAAGAGGAGCGTCCCACCCCCACCTGTTGCTGGCCATAAGGTGACTACGATCAAAACTCCTCCCATCGCTCTCTAATGCAGTTTTATATCAGAACCGTTTGTAAAGTTAAGCATCAGAAATTAGGAGCGAATTCTGGTTATTTAAGAGAAAATAATGGAGTTAATTTTTTTTTTAAATCATTCGTTTATAAAAATCAGATTTCCAAACTAAATATTTAGATTGTCAGTTAAAAACAATCATCAGCAAGTTAAATATTAATTTTTCCAAACTAAATATTGATTATTTGAACTAAATATTTGGTTTACAAAATAAATACTTAGTTCATTAAATAAATATTTAATTTCTTAAATAATAATAGGCCTATTAAATACATATTTAATACCCATTTTTCTCTTAAATACACGCTAAATAAACATTAATAATATTGCTCCTAAATTTTGACTGCTTGACGTCACAAACGGCGCGCCGTAGCTTTAAATCTCGTTAAGGAGGAAGTGTTGCAGCTCACCAGGCCTGGTGAAAACCCTGGTGAGAGGAAAGCACGGCTGATGTCTAACTCCCTCCTCTTCTTGCTCTCTGATTGGTCAGATCTGCTGCAGAGAGTCGGAGCTTCCCCAGGCTGACCAATCAGGTTTTATCATCCAACAGTTACTCCATATTTCAGGAGACATCTTATCAATTAATCCTTTATCTGTTCTTGGATGATTACTTTCTACTTTTAGCCAAGTTTAAAAGTATTAAAGTAGTTCTACTCTCAGTTGAATAAAACTCTGGAGCGACTCTGCAAAAAATATCAATCTAAATATGTCATGTTTTCTTAAAACATCTGTATTTTCCTTAAATGGAGGCGGCAGGTGAGTAACTTTGCCAATGGAACAAGACAATTTACATTTAAAATAAGAAAAAAGAATTTGCATTGTCTTATTTCAAGTGCTTTTTATCTAATCATCTTATTTTAGGAGTAAAAATACTAATTCCATTAGCAAACCATCTCATTTACCTGCTCAAACTAAGAGGAGATTCACTTATTTAAGAGATTTTTACTCATTACCGGATCAGTTTCTGCAGTGCAGGAAGGTTTCCTCTAAAGCGAATTCAGGAAGTTTGTATTAAAATGTTTGCTTTTATAACAATAAAAATCTTTTATAGATTAAGTTCCTGCAGCTGAAATAATCATTAATCATTAACGCTTCTGCTTTACTTCTACGTTTTTGTGCAAATACTACGAACTGAAAGGTTAGCGCGTTTCCTGGTTAGCGTCACGCGGTCGGCCATTTTCCCGCTTCCAGCCGACGCCATCTTTTCCAGGCCCAGAGGAGGCGAAGCTAAAGCCGGCAGCTGAAAGCTGCGGCTGCACCGACTCTTTGGAAAGGAAAAAAAAATATAGATTTGATTGTTTTTAGCGGTCAGAGCAGCTCAGCTGCTTCTGGAAACACATTTCTAGGATTCTAACTAGCACCTTTCATTGTGCGGGAAAAGCTTGGATGAAATGAAGACATGTTTGGGTGAATGTCCAGCGCCCAGCGCTGCACAGGAATACTTATTGCTCAGATGATCTAACACTATGATGATGATGAAGGTGATGATGATGATGGTGATGATGATGGGGACTAATCAAACCTTCATCATCGTTGTAGTTTTCACAGTTTCTAAACGTTTATCTAACATGAGGAGGAAAAAACAGCCTGATGGTTTCCAGCTCTGGGTGGGGGGGGCTGAACCGTGTGAGCAGGCATGCAGCGCCGCTGCCCCCTGCTGGTGAAATGCAGGAACAGCAGGATTCAGGCTGTGGATCTCCAGCAGCTTCTGTCTTCTCCTGAACGGCAGATTAAGCAGGTGAGGAGGAGGAAGGAGGAGGAGGAAGGAGGAGGAGGAAGGAGGAGGAAGGAGCTTCGCTCCTCTTTTCTCTCCCATTTTGGTCAGTTTGGATCCTGACTGGAGAAGCTGGCAGAGTTTTAATCACAGTGTTCAGGCGTGCAGAATTAACGGTTCAGTGTTTCTGAGTGTAGAAGGTGTTTCTGTGAGCAGGTGGAGGATGAAGAGCGGCTCTCCTCCTCTTCCTCCTCTTTTCTGGGCCGCAGCTTCTCCGGTTCCGGATAAAACTCTCCCTCCTGTTCTACACGCTGGCCTCCGGCGCGCCGTCGTCCTTCATCTTGACGTAGACCTTGGGGTCGTCCTCGCTCTCTTCTCGGAGGCGCTGCAGGTGGCGGCTGTGGCACAGCAGGTAGAGCGGCAGGCAGAACCCCAGCATGCTCAGCACCAGCAGACCCACGTTCACCTGAGCATCAGACAGACATGGGGATGAAGAGACGGGAGCGCCGGGCGGCCATGATGGCGACTCGGGGTTCGGCGTCTTACCCATAAAGGGTCTCCTTCCAGGGGTCCCACCATAGCCAGGAAGAGGGGCTGCTGCAGCAGAGCGAACAGAGCGCTGATCAGGGACTGCATGCCAGTCAGGCTGCCAAACTGGGAGGACGGGTACCTGCAGAGGACAAAAAGGTTCTCTGCTAGAGCAAAGTTTTCACTTTATTACAAAAATACTAGAATCATCTGAATGTGAGGAGAGTCGGAGTGAAGCAGCGCTTCCCAACGGGGGAATAAAGATCCCCTAAAATATGAGTTGTTCTTTTTATTCTGCGCTTTTTTACAATAAAAACCAACAAACCAAAAAAATGTGACATTTAATTATGAAATAATAATAAACAAGAAACCAAAACCAGTAAAGCAGCCTGATGGAGCTCCTTCACTAACATGTGGAGCAACGCTTGGAGGAAAACGCTGCATTCAGGTGTTTCTGAAATAATCCGTCAGATTTCTGCACCTGTTGATGGTGTGTTGGTGAAATGTTCACCAGCCAGGTGCTCTGATGGTTTGATTATCTGTAAAACCATAAATCAATTTCAATATTTAAATTTACTGAATCATTAGTAAATCGTTAATATTTTTTCCAGTTTCTAGTTATTTGGATTAATGATCCATTCTCTGATTGGCAGTCTAACGAGGGAGGGGGAGCAGAGGGAGGGGTGAGCAAAATGAAAACTGATTGAAAAGTTTCCATAAAATGAGTCGATTTAAAAGCTTTAATTGGTTGAAATATTCTTCTAAAAAAAAGCAGCTTTTTGCTTGTCTGGTTTTTGGTTAATGTCTCAAATCCGATGAATTAGTGAACGATGGAGTCGCTCATTAGCAAAACGCACTGAACTAGTTTCTAAATCTACGTAGAAAACAGTGAAATTAATCTTTCCTGTCCAGACAGCTCCCTGGGTGCTCAGTCCCCCTAAACCTCTGGTCCTAGAATTGCCCCTGGGGCAGTGCCCCCCCCACTGGGCAGTGTAAATTGTGTTAGCATTAGTTTATCATTTCCTCCCATTCTGCACATCCAGTGATGTAACAATAAACCTTCCAGAATAAATCAGGATCTGAGGAGGTTTTTACTGAAGGATTAACACTAAAATAGATTCAAACCCTGAATTTAGTTTCAGTGGCCCCATCTGTCCCCCCCCCATGAAATATTTCTGCTGTTGGGAAACGTCTGAGTGAAGCAAACGTCTTTCCTTTCAGCTTCACGAAACCTGATATGTTTGTTTGATCTAGTTTAATATCTGTAGTTTAAACGCTCCTCCTGCCTGGCTTTGCCTAGGGCCTCACATTTCCTAAACCCGCCCCTGGTTTTCATTATCAATATATAATAGTCTGATTATTAGCTGATTAAATGACATATTGCATGAATTTCCAGTTAAACTTGTCATGTTTTGAATGACAGCCATAGTTTGCTTTTGTTGTGTTTATGTCTCTCTGGTTGAATCATCTTTAAGTTTCATCTGATGATATGTTCCAGTTTAAAGGTTGCAGCTTGGACCTTTAGGTCAGGTGGTTAAATAAAGCCCTGAAAGTGTCATGGCTGCTTAACGCTGCAGGTCAGACCGTCCAACACTCACACAGCGGCATACAGGCCTCCGACAGCAGAGTGGATGAAGCCTCGGACCACCGTGTGCAGAACGAAGGACAGGATCTGGAAAGGAACAAGACAAGATGTTCAGTGCAGCTGTCACATCTAATCATAGCAGCTCTATATTTAGCAACAGCTAGCTTCCATCTGTGACTCAATAAATAAGCAATATCTTTTCCGTCCAGTAGGGGTCAGTGTAATGCTGCTCTATTCCCTCATGGAGCAACAGCTGCACATGTTGGCAAATGTGCTGCAAAAACCATCCAGGAATAAATCAACGTTTCTTTAATTAAATGCATTGAGTGTCTGAGCAGGAGAAGAAGATGATTCACCAATTAATAATTTTACTCTTTAACAAAATCAAATAAAATGCACTTTAAATAAGACAATGCAATAGTTTTTTTTGTTGTTTTAAATGTAAATGGTCTTTTTCTTTCTCAATTCAAGAAAAAATGCTGTAATCTTAAGAAAGAATGACTGATTTTCAGACGCCCTGACGATCAGTGCGCCTCCCACCTGCAGCGGCAGGTTGGGGACCACGCAGGTGACCCCGAAGCCGACCAGCAGCAGGTTGGTGAAGATGAAGGCTCTGGTGGCGTTGACGATCTTCTGGATCTTTTTGGTCGGGCGCCGGGGCTGACCGGGCTCGCTGCAACATAAAAACAGAGCATACTCAGACCCGTTCTCCGGCCTCTCCCGCTCCTCCCTCTGACGCCCGCTCACCTCTTGGCGCTCTTGTCGTTCTCATCCTCGCAGTCTTTGAGCTTCCAGTCCATGACGTAGCCGATGACCGGCGAGGTGACCAAACACAGGAGCTGGAGCACGCCGAAGATGGAGGTGTAGACGCTCACTGAGGGACACAGAGTTCCTGGTTAGGCTTTCAGGCCGAGCACAGCGGTGAATGAATAACTGGATGAGGAGGAGATGTTCTTAGATAACATGAGACTCTCTGATTGCTTTAATCCAGACTTCATGCTCTAAACAAGGACAGACAGAGGAGGGTGAACTGGGCCCCTTACCCACTTGCATCCTCTCCACTGCGACAGCAGCAGGAAGCAGGCATGACAGGGATGTGGACAAGTTAAAGAAAAGACACACAGAGCAGCATTTTCATGTTAGCTTAGCACACAGCCTGCGACGCTCACCTGTGTTCAGGTCGCCGTCCGTCAGCGACTCCAGGATGGTGTTCATGGCTCCCATGTAGAAGATGAGCCTCAGCTGAGTGACGCACATGGTGATGAGGCTGAGCAGGAAGATGGGACTGAAGATGCTCCTCATGAACGACTGGGCTGCAGAGGGAAACCAGAGCTTCACACCTTCGTTTAGATCCGGATGTTCCAGATATGGAGGAAGTCTCCGTCACAGTCACCCAATGCAGAGCTGCTCTCACCCCCCCACCCCATGCAGGTGGAGCAGCGGTTAGCGATGACGACCTGTCCTCTAAAATGATCCCATTTGTCATCTTTTCATGTTTAGTTTTTGTTTGTTGCAGCTGAGAGGCTACAAATCTGAAAAGTGTGGCCTGAATCTATGTCTGTTCGCCAGTCGTTGCTCTGGCATAAAGGTTTTAAACTAAATAGATTTAGACTTTGACTAGGCCGTTCTGGGACATAAATCAAATGTTTCGGTCGTTCAGACTCCTTTCCTGCACTGCAAAAAATTTTAATCTAAATAGGTCATTTCTGCTTAAAAAAAAAAATTTATTTTGTCTTGAATCGAGGAGGTAAGGGAGACATTTTGCTAATGGAACAAGACAATTAACATTTAAAATAAGAAAAAACAATTGCATTGTTTTATTAAGTGCAAATTATCTAATTATCTTATTCTAAGGGTAAAAATGCTCATTCTATTGGCAAATCATCTTATCCATCTGCTCAAATTAGGGGTAAATACACTTATTTTAATAAGTTTTTGCTTATTTTAAGAAGTTTTAGCTTATTTTTAGATGGTTTCAGCTGGACGGCCATCATTAGTTTGCAGAGAATAGCCTCGTCGCTGCGCTACATGTCCAGAGGTTATGACACCGTTTGCACTTTGTTTTTTTTTAGGCTCTGATATTAAAACTTGCAGGGCAGAGTTGGTCATCCAGATATTCCCGCTGCCTCCGTGTTGCCATGGTGACGCCTGGGCGCGTAGCGGCAGGAGGACCCAGAGAAGAGCCAACAGTCAGAAAGGTTGATCATTAATGAAGGGGGTGAATATGAATGGAAAATGGACACTTGGCTCCATACGGTGAAGTGCTGCACAATCCAATTAGCGGTGAGTGCACAGATGGAGCAGGTGGGTTTATTGCCCACTGGAAACCGAAGAGCAGCTAATGACTGGAACTGTTTGGTCATGGGGACCAGAAATTGGGATATTTTCCGAAGCCCTTTTAGCCATGCATTATTAGAACGGCGGCGGGATCCATTAGCTGCAGCGCAGAGCAAAGAAAGAGCCGTTTCCACTGATCGCCTGTTAGCAACACAACAGGAATATTTGTTTCTGAAAATCACAGGAAAAACGAGCCTTTGTCCCTTTTCTTCTTTTTTCCTCTCTATGTTTTGTACTCAGCTGACTTTTCATGCTGTCTCTAAAGGAATGAAAGATTTTTTCCAAGCACTAAGCTCACTTAGCTGATTGCTCCTTCCTGTGTTTCCAAAAAGGCCAAAGTAAATAACCCAGTCCTTCTTTTCACTGTAGACAAGCCATGATCTGCTTATCTGTTCTCCATTTTTCATTTGGATGAAATAATAGCTGCATGAATCATGACAGCAGACAAGATAGAGGAGAGCAGGAGGCGGGGTTACCAATCTACTCGCTCTGGAGAGCAGAGTTCGCTGCTTTTAGATGTTGTCTCCAAAGTCTCCAGTAGCAGAAAAAAGTCTCTAGATTTGGCGCTAGGAGCTTTTTAGAAATCAAAGTGCTAGAGGGGTCTGAAAAGTGGCTAAATATAGCGACTAAAGCGCTAAGTTGGCAACACTGCTCTTTGCATGGTTTGTTTTCAAATGGTTTGCTGCTGTCTGTTTGGACCTTTCTGAACATGTGCAGCAAATGGACTGATCCAATATGGTGGACACTGAAGGGGGGGGCTGAGACACACTTAATATTATCAGCGTTCTGATGGCATTTTAGCCAAAGGATTTTTATCAAAAACATAATTAATGTGCAGAAATAAGGAATAGTTGTATTAACTATACATGGAAACAGAGTTTTACTGGCAGCTGTCTAGTTGCTTAATGGTAAATTAGGAATCTATTACTGAGGCACTTATTGGATAACATCTATAGATGAATGAATGGTTGTGCAGGAAGTGGGCCTCTGAGGTTCTGGACAGCTGTTCTCAATATTCTACACATGGTTGAACCGGTTAACCCCAAACAATGCTTCTCTGGCGCCCCCTGCCTCAAACGCGCCACCTGCTGAGCAGCTTTTCCCAGAAATCGCTCCGACTTGATTCCACGGTCCATTTGGTACCAAAAGGACCAAGAGGAAAACCACAAGCAGACCGCTGGGAGATCCTGACCCCAAGGAAGAGACAAGGGGGCCCCTAGGGGCCGGGAGGCGCGGGGGTGACAGGGGTCGACTTTGTGTGGATGTGGGACAGAAGGTCCACTGTAATTACTGTACGCAGGTCTGGGACAAAACGCTGTGAAACTTCTTTATTTTAGTCACTATAAATTAAACTGTTTTAGGAAAATCAGGGGAAATTTTCCACCTAAAGCTTTTTATCTGATTTACAAACATTTCATGCAGATTCTTAAAGCGTGAGACGCTAAAGTTAAAAACACTATTTTAAGAAAAATGAAAGTAAAACATGACCGGAAATTATTTTATACAAAAAGCAAAAGTGAACAAACTGCTGCTGAAATAATAAAGGATGTTTTTATTAAACTAAATGTTTTTTTTTTTTTTCCAAATGCTTCATTTTTGGGAAATAAATGTGACATTACTACATTGTGACATTTATTTGTTTACTAAAATAAACAAATAAAATATATAAAGTGAAATCGAAATCATCCTATTGATTTTCATCAAGTATAATAACGTTAGAAAAGCAAAAATATTGAATGCTGCTAAATGTAGAAATGCTTATTTAATTTCAATAAGGATTGAAGCTAATACTAATATTAATTAGTCTAGCTAGCCGGCAGCTAACTGACATTCGGCTTGTAGCTAGCTAACTGAAGTAATGTTGTCTTAAAGGAGTAAACACCCAGAAATATGCAGACGCGCCGACGTTAGCCCCGGCTGCTGCAGACGCGCCGACGTTAGCCCCGAATGTTGCAGACGCGCCGACGTTAGCCCCGAATGTTGCAGAC